GCTGGAGAATATTTGCAGGATCGCGCCCAGCAGCCTCTCTGGGGGCTGTGGCTGCAGCCCTGGTGTATTTACGATTTGTGAACTATCACTCACCCCGCAACTACTAGTTTCTGTGGGCCGGGTTGTTTCCTTTGTTCAGTCAAACCACCTCCTTGCCAGCTGATCTAAAAGTGCCCTCCACCCTTCAGAATTCTCGGGACGCTGGCCAGGCCGGGAGTAGATTCCTCCATCCCACGGCGGAGGCCTCTTGTCCCTGCAGGCTGGGCACATCCCAGCCCCGTGGCTTCGATGACCTTCACAACAGAACACAGGACAGGGCCCCTGCAGTTCCACCATGCCTTTCCTTACCTTCAGGCTTTACAACCTGGGGGTGAGCTGCCCACACCAGCCCCTGGGCGGGGCAGGAAGCCAGGGCCAGCCTGGCTGCAGGGTGGGCGCTAAGCAGCTGCTGCCTGCAAGCAGCGCCACCTGCTGCCAGCTGCCCCACCCCTGCTGTGCAGATGGTACCCCTGCATGCCCAGCCACAGACAGCACCTCCTCCGCTGCCCAGACGATGTGCACGACATGCGTGAAGAAGTCCCTCAGACTGCAGCCATGATTAAGCAGCGAGTCTCTCGGGACAGAGCCTTCCTCCCCCCAGGCGCCAGGGGGACCCAAGGAGAGGAGCAGTGCGGGCAGGGGTGCTCTCTGCTGTCCGCGTAGGGAAGCACAGGGCTCCGGCTTGGTTCACACAGACCCTGGGGCTTGGCACAGCAAATTCAGAGCTCTGCAGGCCCTCTGCAGCACGTTCTCAACCCCGCCAGCGTCCGATGGGGACCCTGGTGGCACATGCCAAGCCCCAGGACTGGAGAAACCACTTCCTGATGCATGTGAGTGGCCACTGGCACTGACCCCTCCCCCCCCCCGCAAGAATCCTGAGTTCTGGAGTCAACTTTCAGGCTAAAACTCAGGGACACAGTGTCCTGTGTGGCCCCCGGAAGCTACTGAAGGAAGAGAGGGTCAACTCTACTCTGGTCACCTGCATTGTTAACAATCTCAGAATCAGCCCAGAGCCACACACTGCTCCCGATGTCATCTGTAAAACCCTCAACCTCTCACCAGGTGTGGTGGCGCGTGCCTGTTACTCCAGCCAACTCTGGAGGCTGAGGCAGGAGGATCAGGATCACCATGAGTTTGAGGTCAAACAGACTTCAACCTCTGGTTCTCCTGCCTTCTTGGGACCGCGTCATTTTATTTCGGTGGGGAAGAAAATAAACTTGATAGGGCCGGGAGCTGGCTCAGGAGGATAAGCGCTTGACTGGCAAACGCAAGGATCTGAGTTCAATCCCCGGTTCCGCCAAAAAAGAAAAAGAAAATGAACTTGTTTCGCTTTGCTTTCGTGATGGGATCTCACTTGTAGTGCAGGCTGGCCTTGCACTCGTGGAGATCCTGCTGCCTCAGCCTCCTGAATGCCAGGACCACAGGAGTGAGCCACCACGCCTGGCTTTAAGCTGTGACCGCAGGAGTGAGCCACCACGCCTGGCTTTAAGCTGTGACCGCAGGAGTGAGCCACCACGCCTGGCTTTAAGCTGTGACTGCAGGAATGAAACGAGCAGCCCGCTGGAAGGCTGCCCTGCGAGGCCTGTTCCAACTCACACGGTGTGAAAGAATACCTGGCACGACCTCTGAGTAACTTCCACATCCCAGCGCGCGGGGGAAGGAGCACAAGTACGCGAGGGCAGGGGGCCTCAAGTGGACACGGCCCAGGGGCTCCAGGTGCCCAGGCAGCTACTGCCCATTGTCGCAGTCCTCTCAGGTCCTGCCACAAGAAAGCAAAGACCAGAGCTCCACACTCAGCTTTTAAAATTTCGAAATACCAGCTTCAGCGATGGACTTCCCCGATTGGCCAGGGGGTACAATAAGGTGGCCTTCCAGCCAATCAGAATCCTGGTCGTTGGGCACCACAGGGTGCTAGAGCAACTGCCGCCCTCACTTGAAGTTGCTGGGTGTCACAGGATGCAGGGCGAGACCTTCGGCACTCTGCCTTCACCGGTTCTCAGGATTTTGGTTTTGTCCCTTGTCAGCAGCAAGATTCAACTGACCTGTGAAGTTCAGCATTCTGTGTTCCCAGACTTACCTGTCTGTGCCATGCTGGGACGGAACCCAGGCCTCTGCACTGAGCTACGGCCCCTGCCCTCTTTATATTTACTTTGAGACAGGGCCTCCCAGAAGCACGAAGGTGCGCAGGCTGCACCTGCCCGTGCTCCTCCTGCTTCAGGCAGGCAGACAGCTGGGAGGACAGGCGTCCTTCAGCCTGTTTCACCTTTGGTGCCCCGCTGTCTCCCAGAGGTGAAGCGCTGGTGGGGTAGTAGCACAGGAAGGGGGGACCAGGGGCGCCCCCTCCCTCTTTGGTCAGCAAAGCCCCCTGGACACAGATGCACTGTGCTGCCACAAAACAAGGCATGGGAGCCTGGATCAGACCGCCCAGCTGGTGTGGACACACAGTGCAGGGTGCACATGCCACTACAGCCCTGCATAGGTGCGGAGCCCGCAGGGACCGCCCTCCCATCCGTGCAGGGCAATGCCAGCTTAGGTCTGCAGCTTCACCGAGTCCTTTGGCCTCGCTGTCCAGGGAGCCTGGGTCCATGCTTTCTCCTGGACTGCAGTAAAGGCCATCTGCAGATCCCAGCTGGGTGGGCTGGGAGACGTGCCTGCTTTCGTCCGAGGCAGGCACAAGAGGAATAGTCCTTGGCAGAGCCATAAACACACCCCTCACCGCTGGCTGCCAGGGTCAGCGACAGGCAAAAACCTGGCTCTTTTCTCTAGACACAGCTGAGCAACAGGCACCGTTAAGCTCTCTAATCTTCCCTTTCGTGTTCTGAGAGGGTCCCGCTAAGTCACTAAGTTGCCAAGCCTGGGCTCTGACTTGGGGCCCTCCTATCCCAGCCTTTCACAGGCTGGGACTTCAGGTACACACGAGCACATCCAGTTAAGACTCAGTCTCTGAAAAATCCAGCCAGCCTCACTCCACACCCCCGGCCCTCCCCAGTTCCAGTTCTGGAAAACCACCGACACTCCTCCATGGGCAGGCAGAAGGGCCACTTTACAGGGAGGAGAGCCAGTGACTTTTTGGTTTTGTTTCCACTTATTTTCCTGTTGCTGTGTGTACAGAAATACCGCACAGTGCACTGCAGTACAACTCGAGAGCTGTGTGCGCCCGCCTACACGTGTGCGTGAGAAGGCAGCTCTGCTACTTCACTCACAGCAGCTGACCGGGCAGTTGTGCATTTTCCAGTCGCTGTGCCCTTACCCTGTGAAGGACAGCAGGAACATGGGTCAGCACCCTATGTGACACACTGCCACCAAAAGCCATCTGCGGATAACGTGGTCACACCACAGCATCACCTGCTTCCTGCTCCCTCAAGGGGCTGCATGTGCCTTTGCAGTAATTTCAAGCCAGACTACCCTCCAAGGCTATGACGCTGGGTGGTGCCAGGGACAGAACCAGGGCCGCAGCACCCTTTTCCCACTGAGCACAATCCCCAAGCTGGAAGCTAGGGCTGTACACAGGACCCCCCCCCCCCAATGAAGGCCAAATGAGGACACGCCCTGCGGCAGAGATTTATGCCGAGTAAGCCAAGTTTCTTAATGACATATAGCCAAAGTCCCTATTTATAACACGAAGAACCACCCAACTCCAAATACAAGCACTAAATCCTTACACCAGTTAAAGTTCTGTGTTGAGAGAAACCTTGTTTCCTATTTTACATCCTTGTTTTGTTTTTTGAAACTAGGTCTCGAGATGTAGCCTAGACTGATCTTGAACTCAAGGCAATCTCCTGCCTCTGCCTCTGAGTGCTGGGATTGCAGACCTGTACCATCAGGCCTGGCCCCATTTTCCGATTTCTTAATGACACATAAGAATTCACAATACTTAATTTTAAGTACTAAACGTTAGAACAGGAAAATTCAAAACCAGGAGGAAGAGCCTGGACGCAGGCCTCTTGCTCTCTGACCTCCCAGGCATGATGCAGTGTCCACCCTCTCAGTTCCCCAGGGTCCAGCCTCTGGGCTTGGGGTACCTACCCTTCAGCTTGTGAGCTGTAAATTCCTTGGGTGGCCCTGAGGAGCGCTTCCTGTTTCTAACATCTAACATGGACGGTAAACCTCTAATCTCCTCCCACCCCATCTCGAATTACCCAAGAGGGCAAAATGGGCTTCGCACAGGCACGCAAGAGAAGGGAAAGGGCCCGAAGGTGGCACAGTGGTGCAACCTACGCAAAAGGTGCAGATTAACCTGCAGCTGATGAGGAAAGGGCCCCAAGCCTCCAGAATGTCTGCATTCGTTTGGCTTTGCTACCGAACAACTGCGCCTGCTCAGAACCGTGTTCCGACCCCACTTCCGACAACCTGCCCGAGCCGTCGCCAGCGTCTAGAGTGTTCTCGAAACCACTTGCTCAGCAGCCGCCGCTCTGGCAGTGACCCCGCACCCGGGCGCGGCCTCCGCCCTCCTCGGAGGTGCAGGGCCCCGGGGAGGGGTGGCGAGGGTCAGGGGTGCAGAGCCCGAGAAAAGCCCCCTCCTCCATCCTCTAAGCTCTAGGGTACCCCGGGCGGCCGGATCCATGATGGAGACAGTCTCCGGGGCCCAGACGGCTGCTGGCCGGGCTGCGATCGCCCAGACCGAGGGCGAGGAGGGGGCGCAGGCGCGGACAGGCGACAACGCCGGTGCCCGGGCAGGGCGGGCGCCGGCAGGCGGAGTCACAGCCGCGCGCCCACCCAGACCCGACCTCCCGGGAACACGACCCTCCCCTACCAGGGGCCGGGCCGCGCTGGCTCCGCGCCGGGCAGAGCCTGGGGAAGGCCGAGCCCAGAGTGCCCTTGCGGTCCCGGGCCCCGATCTCAGATGCCCGGGTCGCGGAGGGCGGGGCGGAGCCTCAGCAGCTGGACGCCGCTGCAGGGCCGGCTTTTCCCAAGACGTGGGGCTGGAGCCCGTCGCCTCCTTGACCCCGCCGCCCGCTTACCTCTTGGCCTCTTCCTCGTTCAGCAGATCCGGCTCGGTCGTCGCCATTACCACATCGCACTCTGCGGCCGCCGCCATCTTACCGCCGGGACCAGAGAGCCGGGCGGGAGGCCGGCGGGGAAGAGCACTTCCGGCCGGAGCATCGAGCGGAGGCGCGGCGGCGCGCCCAGAGAGGCCCCCCCGGGCTCGTCTACCAACGAGAGGCTCCGCCTGGGGGCAGAGCGGCCTCGCGTCCCTGGAGGTCCACGGTGGTCGGGCGGAGGCGGGGGCCCAGGGACAGCTCGGGTGGGTGGGGGGCGCCACTTTACCCGCGGGAAGGATGGTGTGCCGGAGGGTGTTGCCTCTCGGGGCTTTGGCTTTCCTCATTACCCCGAGAGCCTGGTTGCCATTGCAACTTGGAATCCTACAGCGAGCTGAATGGCTGGGGCAGCCTGGGCGGAATCGGTGACCGCGGATCTGGAGGGAAGGATCCCCACGGCTTCCCGCCCGGTGTCGGCGTGTGTCCACAACGTTCTCCCGCGAAAAGGAAGAAGACACTGGGCGCCCGGTTCCACCAGCTTTCATCGGACCCTGCAGGCCCTGCCCAAGAAGCCAGGGGACGCAGGGCGTCCTCGCCCGCGCCTTTCATCCCTAGATCTCCAAGCAACGGCTGGTTCATCACCCCAATGACGCTGCCCTTTATGAGCTACTTTCATGTCGGCCGCCGGGAGCGCAGTCTCAGCAATAAGCCCAGAGAGGAGACATGACAGGCGCCCAGCCCTGCCTCGGAGTTTATAAGGCAGCTCACGGGGTGAGGTCCCCGCTCCTCTGTGTCCCCCGAGGTCCCACCCCTCATAAACTCGGCTCAGCACGCTTGGCTGGCTCAAGGCAGTGTGGACGCAGACTCAGCGAATAGGGCTACAACTTAGTCATCCTTCCAAGACCGTCCTCACCCAAGCCAACAGTTGTGGAGTTGAGTTAAATTAGGGCTTTCTGCGGTTAAGCCGAGGGAGTTTGAGGTTCTCCTGTAAAGCTGAAGGGACTAAGACAGAAAAGGACCTGGGGACTTTAAAAGGTGCTGGGGCTAGGAAGCTAACGCGGAGATACCGAGCACTTGCCTTGCAAGCAAGCGACCCTGGGTTTAATCCCGGCGCTGCACATTATCGATGTACCAGGAAGACGGTGTCAAGGCCCTGTCCTGTTTGCATGGCCCCTACCTAGCAGAGAGCTGAGGGCGAGGGCATGGGCAAGCTGGCATGGGGAGGGCAAGGGCATTCAGCAGCCCTTTCCAGGCTATCCATTCTGTGCCGAGTGGGAGGGCACAGTCCCACAGACAGCCCGCGCTCCTACCAGGAGCTGCCCTCCCCGCACCCATCTTCCCTTCTGTGCTGTCCTATTGGCGCCAACTCCTTTACACCCACGAGCTCTCAACCCTGTCTCCAACCTAGACCTTTCCCAGTGTTCCAAATCTGTACACTACCGACTGGGTAACTTCTGCTGTTTCTCCTGATGTTGAGGCTCAATGTGCACTGAACTTTCTCTATCCCTCAACAATAGATGGACCAAATAGCGCGTTTGATTCTCTTCCCCAAGTTCCCAATTATCTGCTTGGTGAGGTACCCCACCACCACCACTGCCCTGCTGCTACCTGAGGCTGACCACTGCGCTGACACCACCAAGTCTCTCACTGGCTTCGGACACGTGGTCCATTGCACTCGGTTCCATCTCTGGCCTAGCACACTGACCTCTGAAGAGTTGCAGTGTTTCCAAGGGCCATGATTCCCACTGTGTGCCCTCCACCCGACCCCCCAGCCCCCAGCCCTTCACCATTCACTGGGATTTGCCCTCCGGGCAGCTCTCCTTGATGTCCCACAATGCTCGACTCCTCCAGCCGTACTCACCGTGGCGCACTGTGATTGCTGGGTTAGCCAGCAACTCCACTGGACCGTGACATACTGGGGTCAGACACGTGGCAGCTTCTCGGCTCTTCCCCGCACATGGCCCTGCACGTGGTCCGGAAGCCCTGGACGAGGGCTGCAGGAGCCGCTCAGTTCTGGAGTGTGCTATGCCTAAGGTCCCGGGATCCAGCCCCAGCACCGCAGAAGAGATAAAGAAGCATCTGACGACTCATGATTGCGCAGACGAAGCGCTCGTGAAGGACGGCAGCCTTTAGAAAGAACATGTGGGCCCTGAGACCCCCCAAAACAGCGGCTCGCGTCCGGAAGCCTAGAACCTGCAGCCCTCGCGCTCTACAGGGCCTGTTCCCGGCCGGCATTTCCCGCGTCGGCCTCTGGGGGCGCTGTGCGGCCTGCGCTCGCTCCGCCACCGGAACTCGCCTTGCCGACCGGAAGCCCGGGGGCGGGGCTCTGCGGAGCCCACTTCCGCCGGGGCCGATCGGGAGCTCCGGGGCCAGTCTGCCCATCCCCCGGTCCCTGCGCGCTCCAGCGGGCCTCGGGGGTGTGGCCGGGCCCGGGAGGTGCGGAGCCGGCGCGGGCTTCTCTGGCCGTGATCCGTTAGTCCCTGGGTGTCTGCTAAAGGCCGGGCTCGCTCTGTGGGAGGGGTCCTTGGCGGGCGCGGCCCCTGGGGAGCGGCTGTGGGCGCGATCTCTGCCGTCTGCGCGGGGATCTGGCCGTGGGGCTCCTGGGTCCCTTTCGGGGAAGGTGATTCTGACTGCGTCTCCCCAGCGGGAGCGCTGCAGACCCCGGGAGCCGCGCTTCAGCCCCTGCCTGGCTCGGCGGAGGGAGGGCTTCCTCTGCTTTGATCCCCTTACCCCGCCTCACCCGGGCGCCTCTGTCCCTCCAGCTTGGAGGCGAAGCATGGGGAAGAGCTGCAAGGTGGTCGTGTGTGGCCAGGCGTCAGTGGGGAAAACTTCCATCCTGGAGCAGCTCCTGTACGGGAACCATGTAGTGGGTGAGTGCGGTTGGGGCCGAGGCTGGTGGAAGGCGGTTCCGCACAAGGAATAGAAAGGCATCTCACCCCGCACAGGCTCAAAGCTGCTCCATAAGGAGGAGTTTTTGTACCATAAGGCTGGTGTGGCACACACCCATCATCCCAGCACGCCGGGAGGCTGAGGCAGGAGGAATGCTACGGGGAACTAGTGACATCTGTTTCAAATTTTAAAATTAAAGACTGGTGGCAGTTACAGAAATCCTGTTTTCCTCGTTGGACCTGAGAAGGGAAGACGGTAAAACTAATGTAACTGTCAGCTCTCCAGCATTAAACAGCTCTGAAAGGAAAAAAATCCAGGATCTGGCCCGGTGTGGTGGCACACACCTGTATTCCCAGCACTTAGGAGGCTGGAAGCAGGATGATTGTGAGTTTGAGACCAGCCTGGACTACAGTGAGAGCTTGAGGTCAGCCTGAACTGCGTAGTGAGACCCTGTCTCAAAAAGACCGGGAAAAAAAAACCCTGGAGAAGCCCCCACGGGATGCACAGTTTTAGTGTGACATTCAAGTCATTGTCCCAAATCATTCCAGCCCCTCCTTGGCCCGATGACACTTGGTCCTATCAGGCTTCTCATCCCGTCCCAGGCTCTGAGATGATTGAAACCCAGGAGGACATCTACGTGGGCTCCATCGAGACAGACCGGGGCGTGCGGGAGCAGGTGCGCTTCTATGACACCCGTGGGCTCCGGGACGGGGCTGAGCTGCCCCGGCACTGCTTCTCCTGCACAGATGGCTACGTCTTAGTCTACAGTACTGACAGCCGAGAGTCTTTCCAGCGTGTGGAGCTCCTGAAGAAGGAGATTGACAAGTCTAAAGACAAGAAGGAGGTGCGTGGCCAGCGGGGAGGCCCAGGGCTGACACGGGGCTCTTGGCCAGGAGGTGGGATGCTGGCTGGGCCAGGCTGTGCTGGGGAGTCATCATCCCCAGAGGTGGCTGCACCACATCAGGGGTCCCCTAGTCTGCACAGTGGCTCTGTGCTCTTTCTGAAATATGTGAGGCACCTGCTCCCAACCCACAGTCACTCGAAGGCTTCTGTCCTCATCCAGGTCACCATTGTGGTCCTGGGCAACAAGTGTGACCTGCAGGAGCAGCGGCGGGTGGACCCGGACGTGGCTCAGCACTGGGCCAAGGCGGAGAAGGTGAAGCTGTGGGAGGTGTCGGTGGCTGACCGCCGCTCGCTGCTGGAGCCCTTCGTCTACCTGGCCAGCAAGATGACGCAGCCCCAGAGCAAGTCGGCCTTCCCCCTCAGCCGCAAGAACAAGGGCAGCGGCTCCCTGGATGGCTGAACAGCTGCTGCCCGCTCACCCGCTGGCCACATGGAGCCCTGGGGCCCGGAGAGTGGGTGGGGAGTGAGGGCGAGCCCTGCTCAGCCTGGCAGCCGGGCTTTCTCCTCCTGGCCACTCTGGCCCTCTCAACCCCAAGTAGTGCAGCTAGTCTTCATTAGCGCCCCCTCTGTACTCCCCGCCTCTCCTAGCTGACATCCTGTCCACACTGTTGCCTAGGGCGGTGTCCCTCCTGTCCGCCTGACAGGAAAAAGAACTGCCATGCCGCAAGTGCCCAATCCAGGGTCTGGGGCCTTTTTGATTTTGAGACAGGGTCTTGCTAAGTTTCCCAGGCCAGCTTCAATCTTGGATCCTCCTGCCTCAGCCTCCTGAGTAGGTGGGATTCCAGGTATGCACCCTCATGCCTGGTAGGGTCTGGTTCCAGTGACAGGGTTACCAGTGCTCCGAGCTTCCGGCTTGGCGCACACGTGCGTATGCACACACACGCACACACACACACACTTTTGAGGTACTAGCCTGGACATAAGAGGTGTGTGCATAAGGGGTGTCAGGCCCACCTCCTCCTCGCCAGACCCTTCTGGCTGGAAGAAGCCAGCTCCTGGGAGAGCCAGTGTACCTGACCCTGTGTCCTGTGTCCTCTGGCCCAGAGACGGCCCTGCTGCCGTGGGATCCGGCTCTCCCACGTCCTTGCCTGCCCTTGGTCTCTCCCTCTTCAAGGTGCTTGGCCCCCGCGCTTGCGGCTGGACCCCGTTCCCCGAACCACCAGGGGGCAGTGGCGCGCCGCCCTCGGTGCACTGCAGGCCTGTGCCTGGCCTCTGGAGCGTCTGTCGCCTGTGTCTATGTCCCTGCCCATCAGCCAAGGCTGGACCGGTGCTTGCCTACCCCCCTGACCTCGTCGCCCAGACAGGCAGGGGGAGCAGTAGCAGCTCCAGGGAGCTCCTCGCCACCTCTGTGCCATGGGCTTCCACCACGTGCCCGCGATCCCAGCCTGGCAGCACTCCTCAGGGCAGAGCCGGGCTGGAAAAGGAGACTGAGGGCAACCATCAACAGGCTCCCTCAGTGCTTGTTTATTGATGCATTTATTGGACACAATAAAACCACAACTGTTATCAAAAGTTTTCCTCTTTTGTCATTTTCCCACTGGAAATAACCCCAGAAAGGAAATTAGGGGCCTTGGGGTGGGTGGGGCCCAGCAGCGCAGAGGGTGCTGGGGACCACGTGGGAGTGGCAGCCCAGAGCAGGAGGACTGTGTGTGAGCTGCACCCCGTCCGCTGCCACGCCTCAGGCCCGCTCCTGATCGGCTGGAGCCCCTCCCTAACCTCCAGAGAATCCAGGGAGCGGCTCAGGACAGAGGTCGCCGATCTGTGCCCAGGCTGGGAGAGCTCGTCCCGGAGTGGGTGAGGTCTTTGGTTGGAGAAAGCACCACAGTGCCTGGGCTGGGGTTTGGCCTAGATCTTGGAGCATGGTGGGCTGGGCGGGCAGGAAGGGCAGGGCAGGAGGGCGATGGCTGAACCCCGGTGTGTAGCGAGGGGGGCCCATGGAACCAGCCCCGCGGCTACGGGAGGGGCGGGAGGGAGGCGCCTTGGGGAGTGGGCCGGGCTGGGCTAATAGGGCGCAAAGACTACAGGACCCGGGGCGGGGCGCACCGCCCCAGCAGCCGCGCGGAACAGTGCGGGGCCCAGGACAGGCGTGGGGAAGAGGGCCGGCCGGAGGGCCAGGGGCCCGGGCAGGGCGCAGATGGTGGGGGCAGCGGCCGCGGCGGGCAGCGGGCTGGGGAGGAGGCGGGCAGCCAGCGTCCTGGTGAGCTGCTTCTGCAGGGCCAGCTTGGACTGCAGAGGGACAGCGCGTCGGGCAGAGCCGGGGAGGGCACACACCCTCCTGCGCATCAGGTGCTTCCTGTGGGCGCGCTGCCTCCGGTTCCAGCCCCAGCCCCCCATCCTCCCATCAGCCACCTGTCTTCCTGCCCCAGGGAGCACGACCTTGGACGGGGGACAGGGCAGGGGCTCGGTCTCAGGAGATCCAGGCCACCACCCCACGCCACCTCCCCGGACATTCCCAAGGCTGCCGGGTCCCCCTCCCTGCCGGCCACCCCACCCACCCCTTCCCAGCGGAGACCTTAAGGACGCTCACGGCCAGCGCCGCCTGCCTCTGTAGCTTGCCGTGCAGGCTGGGGACCTTGGAGGGCTTCCCAGCCAGGCGGTCCTTGTGCCTCCGGCTGCTCAGGTGCTGACAGAGGGACGGACAGAACCGCGTGAGGACCGATCACCACCACCACCCCCCCGCCCTGGCCGCCGCTCCGCCCTGGCTGCACCTGCTTGAGTTGAGTCTCTGAGTTGACCTGCAGCTGACACAGTGCGCAGTGGAAAGGGGGTCTGGGGCTCTGCCGGCTTCCCCGGAATCCCGCCACTTTCCCAACCTTGTGTCCGGCCCCTCCCCTGGACACTGTGCGACCCCGGGCCCTGCGGGGAGCCCCCTGCTGGCCCTCCACCATCCACCGGTGCCTGGCCCCTGGAAAGGAGAAGACCACAGCAGTCAGTACCAGAGGGAGGGCCAGGTACCTTTTTTTTTTTTTTTTTTTTTTGTTCAGAGGATCAAACTCAGGACCTTGTACTTGCCAGACCTCCAGTAAAGCCAGTCGCCTTCCTGTAATGTAACCCTCAAGGGGGTCCTGCCTACCAGGGTCCAGCCTTCCATTCTAATGGAAAAGGGCCCTCCCAAGTCTCCCAAGATTTTGTTTGGTTTTTGGAGACAGGGTCTTGCTGTGTAGCCCAGTCTGGCCTTGAACTTACAGTGATCCTCCTGCTTCAGCCTCCTGTGGGTGGCATCAGAGCCACCCACCGCTGCCCCATGTCTCTCCAGAGATGCAGTGAGTGACCTTCCTTTTTTTTTTTTTTTGTTCGGAGGATCAAACTCAGGACCTTGCTCTTGCCAGACAGGAGCTTATGCTGCTGAGCTAAGCTCCCTGGCCTCGACTTTCCATTCTTGCGGCCCCAGTTCCCCCATCCCCAGTTCCCCCATCCCCCTCCCCTTAGCAGGAGCCCCAAGAATGCCTCCCCATGCCCACAGGCTCCAGGGCCCCCATGGCGAGGCCTGGCCTCTGTCCCTCCCCGATCCCCGGCCCAGTGCGCTGACCTGTGTTATGGGCCTGAAGCTGAGAGGCAGAGTTCACAGTCACCTTGCAGGTGGGACAGTAGAGGCGTCCCCTTTCTCGGCCACCTGCCCCGCCCCGGCTGCTCCCTGCAGCTGCCACCGCTGCTGCCTCAGGCTCAGGCCCTGGAGCCTCCCTGCCTGGCTCCGGGGAGCAGGGGAGGCAGCAGGAGGCCGAGGAGGCCGTGTCCGCCACCTCTGTGTGGCCTGGTTCTGGGGGTAAGGGCTCCAGGGTCTGTGGTGGCTGGTGTGGAAGGTTGAGGGGAGAGGCCGTGGGTGCTGCGGGGAGACAGAAGGTGCTGGTGAGGGGCTCCCGTCCACCGTGGGCAGCTGACATGATAAAGTGGGAGGGCTGGGTCTTCGGAGGCTCTCATGGCCCCGTATCAGGTGTGTGCACAGATGGAGAACTACGGAGCAGTGAAAAAACATTGACAGCAGTAAGCAGCAGTCTGTGACACACCATCAGCACTGGCCAGGGCCCGCGAGTAGCCAGCCGACGGGGCTGACACTCCCTGAGAGGCGAGTAGCCAGCCGACGGGGCTGACACACCCTGACTCACCAAAGCCAGGTTTTGGTCCTTTAGCCCGAGAGAAGCCAGGCTCGAATCGGAGTTGCGCAGGGTCCAGGTGGATAGGTAGAGCTAGTTGGACACCGTCTCCCCCCAGTTCACACCTCTATGGAGCTCAGAACGTGACCTCACTTGGGAACAGACTTGGCGGGTGGGGACAGTTAGGAGGAGCTGGGTGCAGTGTGAGTGCCTGGGATCCCAGCACGCGGAAGGCTGCAGCAGGAGGGGTCAAGTCTGAGCCCAGCCCGAGCAGCCGACAGACTTAGTGAGGCCCTGTCTCACACTTTAAAAATTAGTTCACATACAGCCGCAGGTTGGGACTCAGCCAATAACTGCTGTCCCTGTGAGATGCCCCAGAGGCACAGGGCTGGACACACGGGATTGGCGTGGATGCCAGGAGAGGCTGGGATAGCAGCCCCTCTGCGGCCCGTCCTGGCACCATGGCCCCCTGGATCTCAGGACCTACAGTTGTTTGTCTCCTCAGTGGCTGCAAGGGAACCAGGGACTGAGGGCTGGCCGGTCCCCATCCGCACACCCTGGTCAGGGCTGCTTTTGGAGCCGCCTCCTAGTGTGCTCAGCTCCCTGCCCCAAGAGGCCACACCCGCTTTCTGGAGTTGAGGTGCTCAGGACTGACCTCTGGCTCCTGGTTCTGCAGGGTCCCCACCAGCACTGGCAGGGGTTAGGCTTGGGGACACAGTGGCCTCATCCCAGGCTGGCGTCTGCAGCCTCTGCTTGTTCTTGGCAGCTTCGACAGCCTTGAGTTTTCTGGCATGTTTGTGGCCTTTATAATGCGCCTCAGCTTGGTTCTGTGGACAAGAGGCAGGGGTCACTGTCCCAGCCAGGAGCAGAAGTTGAGCCCCAGGAAAGATCCGCCAGGGAGATTTAGACTGCATTTTTGTTTTTCTTTCGTTTTGGTTTCATGAGACAGGGTCTCACTGTGTAGCCCAGGCTGGCCTCAAACTCACAGTGACCCCTCCTGCCTCAGCCTCCAGAGTGCTGGGGGCAGGGCCACAGGCCTCTGGCCACCAAGTCCCAAGGACAAACTGGAAGGAAGAACCAGCCCCCTCCCACCCCACTCACTGCCGAGTTGAACCTCAGGTGACAGATGTTACAGGAAATGCATAACTTCTTCTTCAGAGGGGCGGGGACCCCAAACGTGTGGCTGATGACCGCTTTCTGCACGGGGTCCATCTGTGTGGGGAGTGGGGTGCACACATCCTGGGGTTGGCTCGGGACGGGATGGAGCCAACCCCAGGGACGGCCAACTAAAGCCTCCAGAAGAGCGTCCCATCCTGTGGCTCCATCAGTCAGCCTGTCTCTGTCTCTGTCTCTCTCTCTGTCTCTGTCTCTGTCTCTGTCTCTGTCTCTCTCTCTCTCTCTCTCTCTGTCTCTGTCTCTCTCTGTCTCTCTGTCTCTGTCTCTCTCTTTCACTTTCCTTCTTTTTGTATTTCAGTCTTGATACATAGTCTAGGCTGCCTTTGAACTTACTATGTAGCCCAGGCTGATCTTTTTTTTTTTTTTTTTTTTTTTTGGGAAGGGTCTACAGGATGTTCAGGGTCTCACTACTAGGTTGGACTTCTAGTGATCCGCCTGTTTACAGCATCCCAAGAGCTGGGATTACAGGCATGCACCACCACACCCAGTCTCAATGGCTATCTCAGTGTGCCCTGGGGGCGGGGCCAGCACAGCAGGCCCAGGGATCGAACCCCCAGCCCTTGTGCCTGCTTGCAGGTACTTTAATTCACTGAGCTATTTGGCCGGCTCTCTATCTTCAAATCAAGGAAATTCTGCCTCAGCCTCCCAAATGCTGGGATTGTAGCTGTGTGCCACTATGCCCAGCTAGGCAGGTCCTCTATCTTATCAGCTCTGCCAACCTCTTCAGTGACGGCCGAGGCCAAGTTGAGGTTTCCCTGAGTGCTGTCATGTCCTTGGAATAGTCCCCTGGTGTTTCCTTTTTTTTTTTTTTTCCTTTTGCTTATTTTAGCGTATTTTGCTCCTGTCCTTGGGGGCCTGGGCTTCTGGTTTGTCCCGAGGAACTTTCCAAGTCTCCCCACAGGACGAGCAGGGGCTTCAGGATGGCGCTGGGGACAGCAAAGAGTTCTAATGGACACCTGAGGAAGTGGCCCTAAAGGAGTGCATGTCCCTGACGGCAGGACAGAAGCCCAGAGCCCCGTCCCCAGGGCCCCCAAGGTCCCCGAGGACCCCAAACTGCTTAGCACCTGATGCCCCTGGAGGTTGGGGAGGGAACCGCTCCATCCAGGTGACCCTGAGGGAATCTGACTTTATGTCTCAGGGTGACCAGAGCTCCGCGTGGTCTCCTGTGATTCTCAGGATGAAAAAGGGAGGGTTGCTTGTGTTCACCGGTGACCTAACGGCCATAGTCTACACCCACGTGCGCGCACACTCAGACCAGAACAGACATGTTCACACGTTTTTGGACAGGCAGAGACCAACATACACACCTTGAGCAACATACAAATACACACTCCCAAGCCAGACACACACCAAACACATACAGAGACACACGAGAAGCCTGAAGATGAACTGGGTGTGGTGGTGCACGCCTGCCAACCCAGCACTCGGGGAGGCTGAGGCAGGAGGATGGAACATTTGAGCCCCACTTGGACAACTTAGCAAGACCCCATCTTGAAATAAAAAATAAAAGGGCCTGAGGGTATAGCTCAGTGGGAAGATCCTGGGTTCAGTGTCCAGTACCAAAAATAAATACCCCAGCACTTGGGAGGCTCAAGCAGGAGGATCACTACAAGTTTGAGGCCAGTACGAACTGCCCAGGGAGCCTCTGTCTAAAAAAGAAGAAAATAAAAATTTAAAAAGAGGGCCAGTGAGATAGCTCAGTGGATTAAGCACCTGCTTAGGCAAGCACAGGGACTGGGGTTCAATCTTCAGCACCACATGCAGTGCCAGTCCCACCCCTGGGCATGCTGAGCCAGCCACTGAGACCGGCGTGGTGGCGCACGCCGGTAATCCCAGCCCCGGGAAGGCTGAAAACAGGAAGATCGCTACAAGTCCCCGAGCTGCATAGTGAGACCCTGTACCAGATACATTGAGAGAGAGAGAGAGAGAGAGAGAGAGAGAGAGAGAGAGAGAGAGAGAGAGAAAATTGATCACAAACATGCAGGACACCCATACACAAATTCAGCCTTACGTGTAATACCCAGACCTTGGGCCGGGGAGGTGGCTCAGTGGAATAAGCGCTTCCCTGGCAAGTGCAAGGGCCTGAGTTCAATCCCCAGTTCCACCAAAAAGAACCCCCCAAAACCCAGACCTTCCCAGTGACAGGCCCAGCGGAAAGCCCGGAGCCATCGCAGACCCACCGCAGACATGGTCACAGAAACCAGGGGGCTGTGAGGCTGCAGCACTGCCTAGGAGACAGCGGGCAGGGGCGGGTGGGGTGCTTCCTGCTGCCCCCGCCCCTGCCCCCTCCCTGTGCCCCAACCCCCCCCCCCGCTTCTGTACCGTGCTGAAGTTGGGGAAGAGGCCAAGCGGGGTGGCACCCTGGAGGTGGAAGGCCAGCAGGTGCTTGATGTCCAGCGCGGGCTGTGGAAGCCGGGCAGGCAACGGCAAGGGGCCCAGCAGCGGGCTGGGGGCGCTGGAGGCTGGGCCTGCGCAAGAGGGAGAAGGGCAGGGGTGAAAGGGGTGGCACACCTTCCCCTGCCCTAAGGGCTGAGGACGCACGGTTGAGGGCTTCCTGGGTGGGCCCAGGACAGAGCTGGGGGCCCCTTCACAAAGCAGCAGCCATCAGGCTTTATCCCTGAAATGTCCCTCCTGGGTGGACGGAGGCTGCCTAATTGTAGATGGGCCCCAGAGGAGGGGGGCCAGCCCCCAACATACACAGCCTGGGAGGCTGCAGGAGGTGCCTCACGTCCACATATTGCAAATTATTTCTAAACTCCTGAGGCTCAGGGGAAGCCCACCCATTCTGGGCACTGAGTGCCCAGCTCTCCCTCAGAACCCCAGCTATCTGCAAGAAGGGCTGAGAAGAGGGTCAGGCTGGCCGTGACATCACGGCGAGCCTCCTGCCTCAGCCTCCTGCATCCTGGGCTCATGGGCATGCACTGCCACACTCAGCTTACCACTGGGGTTTTGCAATCTTTGGTCTCAAGAGCCAGAGGCAAGACCAAGCGGGGGATACAGACTTGAACAACCAGACTGGGAGGAAGAAATAAAATGTCAGAAATCAATCCAGTCTGTTTGGGACTTTTTCAGACCCTGTCACTGCGAAACCAAAAGCAGGCCTCTGGCCTATGCCCTGCCCTGGGGCAGCCTCCCTGGACCACAGTGCCTTCAGCTTTCAGCTGGCAGGTGAGATCAAAGACAAGCAGGCCCCAGTGTCCGGGACAAGGAGCAGGAGAGCTGGGAATGTTGGGCGCATGTTCTTCGCCCTCTCCCCGGCATCCTGCAGACTCGATGTTCCTTCAACCATGACCCAGCCCTGGCTTTTCTAGGGCCAAAATATGGGCAGGGTCCAGGAGATGGATGTGACCGTCACCACTCTGCCAAGCACACGAGCACCAGGTTGCCTAGACCCAGCCCAGGCCCCTGCGTTGGTGCTCACGGGCAGGGACAGGGAGCCCAGAGTAGGCAGGGTCCCTAGCATCATGGTGTCCGGGGCCCAGCCCAGCTCTAGGCCCCTGCGTTGGTGCTCACAGCAGGGACAGGGAGCCCAGAGTAGGCAGGGTCCCTAGCATCATGGTGTCCGGGGCCCAGCCCAGCTCTAGGCGCTCCAGGGCCAGCTGCAAGCCCAAGGTGCACACTAGGTCTGGCTCTGTGGCCTTCGAGTCCCCAGGCACACAGGTAGCATTGGTGCCGCTCCTTGTGCAGGAGCCCAGAGAGAGCAGGGAACAGGCTACTGGCCTAGGCAAGGACCCCAGGAAGGCAGTGTGCAGAGGCAGCTCGAGAGTGAAGGCATCCAACTCTCCGAGGTAGGAAGCCTTGTGGCTGCACGCATACCCCCCCCAGCCATACCTCCCCCCAGCTGCACTGAGCCTGCGGGGACGCCAGGGCCCCGCATCAGCAGCTGTAGGGAGGCCAGGTCTGGCCGCTCTGGCTGTAGTGCCACTGTGAATCTGTGCTCCAGGGCAGCACATCCAGCAGCAGGTGCACGAAGGCCACAAAAGTGAGCTGGGGTAGTGCCCGGGCCGGGGTGCACGCCATGGGTGCGGCTGGTGCTGTTGCTTCTGGGGTGGGCTCTAGGCACTGCCAGGCCTCAGCCACAATCTCTACCAGGCTGGGCCAGGTCCACAGCGACCAGGTCTAGTGTCATCCGGAGCTTGAGAACCATGTGGGCAGGTAGAAGAGGGTGTCAGCATGCTCTATCCCCCTAGGAAGTGGGGGGGGGGGGTCCTGACCGGCCCAGGACAGCTTGGTGGGCAGAGGGCAGGTGGCCAGGAGCTGCAGGACCAGGCTGCCCAGGTGCCTCCCCAGAGGCCAGAATGGAGCCAGGAGAGCATGGACACTGTCACTCTGAAGGCCTGTCTAACATCCAGGAGTTGGCCAGCGACAGCCTTGCCCTCTCGTAGCGCCACACTGCCCAGGAAGGTGGTGGCGGGTCGCCCTTCTCAAAGGGACACTGATGTGGCAAACAGGGCCAGCCTGTGGGACTCAGGCCAGGCCCTGATCTCATCTACCACCCACCCTGCATAAGGGGATGCCTTCAGGCACTGGCAGGCCTCCGGAGGGAGAGAAAGGAGGGAGGACAGTTAGGCTTGTCCCCAGGGCAGCACAGGGTGGACGTGGAGACTGAGGCTGGCCTTGCCACCTTGGGCAGTCACTCAGCCTCTCTGAACATTAGTTTGGTTTTTTTGTTTGTTTGTTTTTGTTTTTGTTTTGGGGGGGAACTGGGGATTGAACTCAGGCCCTTGCGCAAGCGCTTATCCTACTGAGCCATCTCCGTGGCCCCCGAACATCAGCTTTCTACCTGTACTTAGCTCACACCTGCCCTTGCTCATCACAAAGAGCTGACCTGTTTGAACCATAAATCAATCTTTGCGATTGCTCTTCTACGTGCCGAAGAACATGACAATCCCCTAGCGCTTGAAGGAGCCTGGTTTTCCTGCAGCACAGCCCGTGTGCCTGCAGGGTGGCCCTCCCACCCAGCTCAGGGTGGCCTGGCAGCCAGCCGTGTGCTGCTGGTCACCTCTCCGTGGGGAAGGCAGCCCTCCCCACAGCCAGCCAGGGTTGGCACAGCTGCACCCTGGACAGAGCCCAGCGTGCTCACTGCCTCCAGGGGCCACGCCAGTGACAGAGTTTTCACAGGACAGGTGCTAGCATAGGGCCCAGGAAACCAGTGAGCCCAGGCTGCCACGTCAGCCACGGAAGTCTGCATGGCAGCCCGGGGACCTCACTCTCTCACAGGAGCCACAAGCCCAGACCTTTATGTCATCTCCTGAGTTTTTAAAATAGGAAACTAACGAGTTTTTCACCAATGCAGTAGAAAATCAACAAGACACACCCGCACTGCAGGTTGCGCAGGAGATGCCCTGAGTACCCGTGGTCGGGGCGCTCGCTGTCCCCTGCAGCCGGCCCAGCACCCAGTGCGTGGTAGGTCCTCAGCAAGGTGCCACGGGCAGCGTGTCCCAGGGCTGCTCCTGGGTGGCCCCGTGTCCACCTGCTGGCCCCTGGTGGCCACCCACCTGCACGACCCTCCCGTTCCTGGGGCTGTAGTGACCACCATGCTCTGCCTGGCAGCTGAGCCTCCACGGCTTCTGCGGGGTGGGGTCACAGTTGCCGGCACAATGTCCCCTTTGGCCATGCAACATATGGTAGTCAGCTTCTCCTCCAGCCTGGTGCCCCGGGGCAGTGGATGCCCTCTGGAGCAGTTCAATCCCGCTGGATAAGCAGAGGGTGCAGTTGGGCACCCAAAGTGACGTGGCACAGCCTTGCTGGTGGCTGCAGTGACGGCGCTCTCGCCTGGCCGCACTTGCTGAGCCCTGGGCCCACGGCCCTCAAGGCCGAACACCAGCCATCAGCTTCTGCTTGGAGGTTCACTCCCCAGCTGGCTGGCTTCTTCCCGGGGGTGGGGGTGGGGGGACCAGGGCGGCTCTGGGACCTGCACCCCTCCCCTAGCAGGGCACCACCCTGGACCAGGGCATGGGTGGCTGGGCAGGCAGGAGCAGCAATGAGAGATAAGGAGAAGTGTTGGGGGCCACAGAGGTGCGTCCACACGGCCCCATATCCTCCCTGGCTGTGGGGCAGGCTGGGCCACACCTATGGACAGCCACATTTTATTGGAAGTGTCCAGGAGACACTGAGTCCTGGGGGCAGTGATTCTCAGGGCTGCTGGGTAACTGGTGGCTCCAGCAGGGTCAACATGCAGACTGACCTTCACCTCCCGGCCCAAAGGACGAGTGTCACTGCAGCCCCAAGCCCCAGCCCATGAGAAGGAAGGCGGCAAAGCTAATGCTGCCTGGCCACAGGCTGCGGAAGGAGACTTGCTTTTTCAGATGCACCCAGCCTACCGGTAAGCAGCCAGGGCGGGCAGCTGCGGTCCGTGCAAGCGACGCCCAGCGCTTCCCACAAGTCTTGGGGCTCCCATCCTGGTGACTCCGAGGGCCATGCTCAGACCCAGGGCTGTGTGGCCTCTCCCTGTGGGAGCCCTCTCCACCAGCAAGGGCCACCTCCACCCCGTCCCCAGCAGCCAGGGAGAGCATGCACGTGCACATATACCCCACAGGACCCCAGCCTCGAGACTCAGGGTCGCCAGGTGCTACCTGTCTGCCCCAGTCCCCAGCCGCTTCTGCAATGCCCAGCACTGCTGTCTGCCCAGCTGCCTTAGACGACACCATGCCCTTTGTCCCTACCTTTGTTCTCTCAGTCTGGCACTCCTGGTCCTTCATTCCTGGCCCCTCCCCATTCATTTTTTTTTTTTTTTTCCTGGAACTGGGGATTGAACTCAGGGCCTTCACAATGAACTACATTCCCAGCCCATTTTTTATTTTTTGTCTTTTTTTCGAGACAGGGGCTCGTTACACCTGAGGCTGGCCTTGAGCTCACTTTGTAGCCTAGACTGCCCTCAAACTTGCAGTGATCCTCCTGTCTCAGCCTCCCGAGTGCTGGGATGACAGGTATGTGCCACCATGCCTGGCCTCACTTTTTATTTTTTAAGACAAGGTCTCTGTGAGCTAAGCTGCCCAGGCAAGACTCAAATTCCTGATCTACCTGTCTCAGTCTCCCATGGGGCCGGGATCACAGGCCTGTGACACCAGGCCCAGCTTCCCTTTCATTTTTGGGAGCAGCTGGGTGTCCCAAGCTCCCAGGCAGGCAGGCATCTGTCCCCTGAGCTCATGCAACACTGGCAGTGCAGGGATCCTGTCAAATCTCTGCCCTTACTTCCGGGAGGCCAAGGTCACGCCAATCCCCTGTCACATCTCCAGGTCCCTGTCCAGGGTCAGGACACAGATTCCTCAGTAAAAGTGGGTTGTTCTGGGGAACAAAAGGACTCATCCTGGCTCCTGGAAGACCTTCCTGTTTCTGGGACCTTGATTAGATGACTTTGAACTCTGAGCCGGAGTGGGGGACCGTCTTATCCACACCCATGTGTCCTGGCCTTCTTGGGGAGAAGGAGCAGTTCGAGGCCAGCGCCCTGCAGCCCCTGGTTTTCCTG